CTATTCACAGTTGTCAAAATGCCCAAATAGTTAGGCAGAATGGTGTTCTCCAAACATTAGAATATCAACACTTTCTTGAATTGAGGTTTAAGACTTTGTGATTTTTTTTTTAAGAGTAAAGAACTTAATGAATTCTATATTGGTATTCTTTTAATATATGAATAATTACTGCGACTATTGCCCTAAATGTATGCAAGTTGATGACGTTTACATGTTTTGCTCCAAACCCACATGCATTATTTTAAATTATTGGGCGTCATTAGTGAGGTAGTTCGTCTACTATGTGAGCAGAGATTCAAAATCCTGAGGCACCCCATGAATATATTTGTATAAAACCCTCATTGCTTATGCTAAAACAAATATCTTGTGCTGGGAGGACGTATTAGTGGCCTTGTTCATTCACATTTATCAATCTTTTCCTACATAATTAGCAGGCATATATTCATCATCTCCATACACAACCCAACCATTAAGTATCTTCTTAATCTGGCAACAAGGCATCTCAAGCCAAAACATTGAAAGTCCCAATGGGATTTCCATTTGTGCTAATCATTTTGTCCTCACTCATTTATCAGTCTATGCATGATTGTATCATCAAGGAATATGAGACCTAAAATGGCACCATCAAAAGATGCTGTACATCCTCTAGTTATGATTGGGATCATATATTCTTTAAGAAAACCCTAAATTAGGAAAATGATTCTGTTGCCTAAACTTTGATTTGTTTGCAAATCGTGAATAGTAAGTGCATATGTACCTTTAATATATATATCATATTCACTTACCACCTCTTTAATTGTTCACAATCATTAAGTGATGATTTCCAAAATGAATTTGTGCTTCAATCATTATTGCCTAAACTTAAGCTAATTCATCAGGGTACAAACTTTTTCCATATGAACTTGTCGTTTATTTATTTGAGGAGAGATTCGGACTTGGGATCTCTTCCAACAAAGTAAAAAATATTACTTTAAACGATAAGAATTTACTTAATATTATGTGTGAATTTGTTTGCGTAAAAAATAACAGCCACACACGCATAAGACAGATTGGGTAAACATTTTATGTATGTTTCAATCACAGCAAAATATAAGCAAACTTTTACCGTCGGCACACAGTGATGAAGCTATACCAATAATTGAGGGGATGATTTGATGAAAAAGAAGAACCAATTTAAACTGATGATTGATGTGTATTTTAAGCAACACACATGCACCTCAGTACATATACCTAAAGCCATAGCCAACTATTAAATCTTTTAGCCCCATCTTGTTGCTTCCTTTCATAGATACCATTTCATCTTCACCCTTGTCTCAGACAAGAGATCATGGAAAGAGGACCGCACGAGACCTAAATTTATTAAGTTTTAATTCATTTCTGGCACCACTATTAGGGTACAGAGGAACAATATTACTTACCATGAACCCATTTTTTTATAAACCAAAAGCAAATAAAGAAGCTATGCTTTTTAAACCGATCGCACAAATGATGGATATTGAATTTGATCCAAAACAAAAACAAATATATAAAAAGATCCCAATTACATAAACAAATATATATAAGATCCAAGGTAGCCAGAGAGCTAGGGTTAAGATATTAGAGAGAGGGGGTGGAAAATGAGTGAACAGAAGAGCATATGGCTTTTGAAAGAGAGATATAGACCTAAGCTATTGGGCACCAAGATTTGGGAGAACCCACATCAAAAGATTAATGGAAGAATCTTAGAAAGAAGTATTTTATTGGATGCAATTTGTCATTGGAATATTAATATGTGTTATTTTCATAGGGTTAGGTGATGAGAGGGAAACCCACTAAGCTTATATATGAATGAGAGCGAGCTTTTAGCTATGGCTATTGCTAGGTGGCCTATAGGGATCCCAATATGGTTGAAGGAGGAGTTGGAATCCACTAAAAGTGCTCGGTATGAAGAAGACATGGGTTTTAATTTGTATTGGGACACCCAGCATGCTTCCAAGCCATGGAAAACCTCTGCCCTATTTTCAGACGTGTAAAGAAAGTCTCCCACTTAGATTCATCTTCCTTACACCCCATTATTGGCTCCTGAAACAGAAATAAACAAAGTCCTGCTATTCTATTATTTCTAGCTTGATGAGGCCCCCAATTATTGGTGGGAGTTTTTCTCATAAAAAAACCTCATCAAGGACAATTCGACCAACTAAAACTCCCTGTATCACACTTTCTGCAGCTTTAAATTTTCATTTCCCTCGAATCATCATCCATGACATAACATATATATGATGTGTCTCAAACCAAACAGAAACCCAAAGAAAGAAAAAAGAAAAGAAAAGTCTTTCGAGTTAGTTAATTTAATTTAATCAATGCATACATGGACTTAGCAAAGTTGCATATAGCGGATGTGCTCCTCACTATATGCACCGAGTTTAATTTAAAGTAGGATATCGTTTATATAAAAAATTTAATTTACTTCAAATATTTTAAAGTGAACCCTCTAGGGTGCCAACAAACAAACACCTGGGGGAATTAAAAAAGAAATATTAAATATTAGGGTTATAAAAAGACCAAACTCTCAATAAAAGTGTATTTAGAGAGAAGTGTGTACGTGTTATATGTAGTGAGAGGAGAGGTCTCCTCCATGTGGTTAGACAAGTCTCTTTAAAAGAAAGGGATCTCTGTGAATTGAATATTTGGGAACAAATAAAGGATGTCTTTAAAGTTTTTTTTAACATGGTTTCTGGCATCGAGTATTTGACTACAGAATTAGATGTACATAATTTATAAACGTGTCATGCTGTAGGAAATCTGGTCCCTCCATAGAGGGTGGTGCAACACTGTCGACACATATATGAGGTAATAAAAATTGATCATTTATGTACGGAGTTGGTCAGTAAAACAAGTATATATATTTGCATGCATGTGTTCGAGATTTGGGTAAATATACATCTTTGATTGATTACCCATGTGATTAGCTGAATGATCTTCACAAAGGGAGCAGATGCATAAGGTGCTCACATTGCAGGTAGCTTGGACCTAATCCCTTGGGTATAGGAACTAATTATAAATTATATATAAAAAAAAACTAAATATTCTAGTCGACTTTTGAATTCTAATCATAACGGGATTAGGAGCTGGGTTGGCAGGAAGAAGAAAGGCTGAGGGTGTTTATTTTTCAGTCTTTGGTTGCAAGAGAAGGGATGGAAATTTGTGTTAGTACAAATCACTGTGTATAAAGATGGGGTGTTATTTAAACAGGCAATACAAGAGAATGAAATTAAGTATGTTACGTTATGTAAGGAATATGTAGCTCCAGTTCTTATGAGTAGTTACTCGTGCACCTGAGCTTCTGTGATTGAGATTATGTTAAGTTAGATAAATTATATGATGATGACATGTGGAGAATGATTCAAAGGAAACGTGCTTTGTGGCTGATGTCTTCGCTTGATGTGGCTGTTTATAATGGCCTTTTGTTAGGGCCCTTAGCCCAAAGTGGCAGACAAGAGGAGCTGGATTTTGTACTGAGTTACTGGCAAGATGGGCCAGACCGGGCCTATTATTTTATTTTTATTCCCGCAGGCGCGTTGTAGTTGAGTCATTCTATAAGGGCCTTTAAGGTCCTTATATGAGACCCTATCTCTTATCCGTTGAATCAAACTAACCAATTTGATCAAACAACTAACCAACTTGATCTAATAGTTAAGAGATATGGCATCATGTAAGGCCTTAGAAAAGACCCTTACTATAGAATTCTACCGCTGTAGTTTCCTATCTTAACCCTAATTACTACTCATGTAACTCTATGCAATTTCATGCTGCCGAAATAAAACTCATAGGAGGATCATGATTTGTTTGATTGAATTTTCAGTGATCTTTTAGTTTATGTTTTGCATGGGTCAAAATTTGTAACCATTCTTATAGATGAATGGTGAATAAGTAATGTACAAGTCTTTCACACAATGGGGATTGAATGTGAGAGTGACTTCACGACTCCCACTAAAATTTTATTTTGTTTGTTGCCCTCGTTTTTTTTTTTTCTCATTTACAAATTATTGGGAATGGGTTGGAGAATCCATTCCCAACAAATTTAGAGATGGGGAACCCCCAATTTCAATATTACGTACGAGTATAGAGGCGAGGATGTGGGAGAAAAACTTAACAGGGAAGGAGATGAGAATGGGATACCCAATTCCCCGATTCGCCTCATTGCCATCCTAATCTCGGATATATGGTCTTGTACAACTACATTGTACCCTTGTAAATCTATATGTTCAATCCAAATTTCAATTTTGTTTTTCAATCTTTTAACCTAAGTATTATGCCATCGAGTGTGCATGGTTCATTTTGAATTGATTTCTGTGTGAAAAAAAAAAAAAAAATCTTACAAGGAGGTAAGGATTGACCCAACTCATTTCATCATAAACTCTATAGAATCGTTGTCAAAATCCAAAAAAAGTAAAAACATGCATGTTCCACTGCCGGAATAATTAACAATCCGATTTATGTATGCTTACGAGTGAAGTAATAAAAACCTCTATGTAGAATAGCTGCTATATCTAAAAGAGTTCACAAGAAAAAACTAGAGTGAACCCGGTCGAGTAACGAGCCAATTCAAGTTTTGCTACATCAGCGGATGTTAGTGCTTATGAAAGGAGCAAGAATGTATATATAAATTACTGTTAGTAATTATAGACAACGACCAGCTACAACTTACAGAAGATTAATTCTTCAAATGATCAACTGATGTTGGAACAACTGGTTAATTATGAGAAAAACGAACAAGTTTCTTTGGCTTGTCTTTCTGTGAATCAATATCGATCATCTTCTGGGAATGGAAACACATACAGGACATGATCGACGCTCCATCCATGCATTCATGACCTGCAGGCTTCAAATTAACAGATCTAGAGAGAAAGAGGAAGAAAAGAAAAAAAGAATAGCACCGACTACCACCGCTACATGCCTGCCAAACTCATTCCTAATTATACATACAACAAGAACAATAAGAAGAACAACTTTTTTAATTGCTATTTACGTTCCGTTTGACATTCCTGTTTCAGAACCTTGGTCCCTTTTGCCAATGTATCCACCGTTATGTCACACGTCACATGAAATTTCCTGCTTCTACTATTTAACGTCCCAATTCTCATCCGTGCCGGAATGTCCATGTTCAGGGACAAGCTCACACGATGCCCTTTTTTATATGTGCTGCTGTGACTACTTTCTAAGCTTTTCTCAATCTCCTTAGGCAATTTCATGTTGGAGCCATGGAGGACAAGGGCAACTTCTTTGGATTTGCCGCTGCCTTGGTAGAGAGAAGGGTATTTTCCATTCGCTATCTTTTTTTGCTTGAAATAAAGGCTAGCTCCACCACCGTCCTTGTACACAATCGCCACTCTTGAGTTAGGGTTTCGGGCTTCCAACGTCACGTTGTAGTCGGGCCGCCCCAATTTGCCCTTGACAACCACACGTTCGACGCTGAATTTGGGGTCTCCGGACTTGGCCAACATGGTCAAAATAACTGCCACCAGGGTGATGATAAACAGGATAATGAAAGCAATGATGCCGAGGCAACAATAGGAGCAACTCTTTTTGTTGACACCCGAGCCCCGGTGTCGTTCAACGATGGTGGCGTGTTCCGGCGGGGGCATGCGGTAGATTTGGTCCTTGGGGACCCGGACAATGTAGGTGCCAGAGCGGAAGGTGGCGGTGGAGCTGTTTGAATTGGAGAGGATCAATTTTTGGGGGTTTGGTGGGGGTGGCTGAGGTGGGATGAATTCAGGGTGTTTGGGAGATGTTGTAGGGATGGGGTCATCGTCGCCGGCAGGTAGGGCCCGCTCCGCCATGGGAAGATGGGGAGCGGTGGTGAGGACAAGTAGGGTGGTGTTGAGCAATTGGAAAATGGAGCGTCGATTGCATGGGACAAATGGGAGGCAGTGAGGTAGAGAGAAGAAAAAGAGGGGTGTTGCATGCAAAAGTCTTTGACTCAAGAGGATATTCCAAATTAGACTATTATTAGAGGTTGTTTACTAGGTCAATTACATGTACTAATGGCCACTGGAGAATTCAATGATGATGATTTTTTGATTCACCCTAAATAAAAAGAGGCAGTGGATTTTACTCTCTTGTGATTACTACATAGGAAAATTATAGTCCCACTATGACCTTACCCTAGTGAGCTTAGTCCCACCCGATTCACAAACCAGTCCAACCCATCTCTTTATATCTCTCATGACGTATGTGACGTGATGATAGAAAGAATTACGTAATGAGTGAGATAGAAAGATACGCTTTGCAAGTGATAAACCCTAAGCCCATAGCCCATGTCATTGGGTGTCCAAGGACAAGTCTTGGGTATCCATAATAAAACGGAACAATGGGCCAAATAACTAGACTAACCGATAAGCCTGGGCCTAAAGACCGGAAGATACAATTGCATGAATCTTTCGAAAGAAGTGGATGAGTGCTATCTACACCCAAACCTCGTCTCTGGTCACCCATCTTTGAATTTCAAAGTTTTGCACTTTCTCTGGACACTCAACTGGGTTTTATAATATCCCAAAGGTAACTCTAATTGGTCAGCAGCTTGAATAGAATACACAACACAACCACCCTTTAGTTTAATACTTTGGGCAAAAAATAATATAGAAATTTGTCAATATTCCCAGTAAAGTCAATTTAAAATTTGCAACTTGAGATTTGTATATTGCATATAGGCCACTTCCCAAAGTTTTTGACTTGCAAAACATGAGAAAACTACAAAAATATTGACAATTTTGTTTGAAGAATATCAAAATTGTGTTTGACGATTTTCCTAAATAAATTGGGTTTAAAAATACCCATAAAAGGCGTTTAATCCAGTGCAAAAGGACTTTGATTTTTTCAAGATTAGTAGTCTCAGGTTTGAACCCCCATAACATGTTGGTAGCGTGTGAAACTTTCTTCCCTTTGTAGTTTAAACTTTAAACTACCTTTTATATTAAAAAGAAGAAGAAAAATACACAAAAAAGAGGAGAATTTTTCAATGACTTGTAGTTGCACAGTCTTTCAACTCATCTAATTGAATTCAACACCAACTCATGCTGACACCCGAAGTGACTGTGGTGGGGGGCATTGGGATGCAGAGGTTTTTGACTGTGGTTTATGATTGCAGTTTTGTTTTCAACTTCTGGTGGTGTTTGCTCAACCACGTCGTCAGTCGAGAAAGCTCCATATGCCGACATTGGCTGAAAATTGAACTTAAAAGTCAATGTTGCCTAATTTTGCCGGTCCATAGAGGGAATGCCAAGCTTTCTTCCCCTAACTTCTTCTTAATTCTCCAATGTGATAATAATCGAAACTATTCGTTATCGAGCTCATCTTGTTATAAATTATTTATGCAAAAAAAAAAAAAACTAAATTGGAAGTCGTTTTGTCTTTGTTTTTTTTTTGGACGAAAGGGAATTTCATTAAGAGGCAAAAGCCATGAACAGAAACAAACAAACTAGGCCAGCACACACTCAGCCAAAGCAAGCGAGTGGAGAGGCTAACTTAGTACAAAATATAGATAAGAATATTAGTTTGGTGGTCCTGGAAGACCATCCGCTTCTAGTACTCCCTAAAGAGACGGTGGTGGCCTTTCAACCCAGCAAATTTGCACCACCGCTCTGATGTCAATACTAGCCGCTGCGTGAGCTGCCTTGTCATTTTATTAATGTTTCAACAAAACACTAATTTGGTTGATGTTTTACAAAGATGATTGTTAAAGAGTAAGTTAGAAGATAAATGATTCTGATCATTAAAGCACATTGCACGATAACAATAGAAACGAAGTTGAAAACTAAACTCCTCCTCCTCCTTCCTCCCTCTCTCTCTTTCCTTACTTCCCTACTTATTTTTCCCCTTTCCCATATACTAGATTTGTGATTTTACTTGTAGGGAGGATATTTGTGTCCAGATATGTGGATATGTGGTTTTGTTGTAGGGTAACAGGCTGCAATCTCAGTGCTGTTCTCTATCTCCAAGACGGTGACGACGGCTGTGGTGGTGGTGATGGCAACAACTGCGGTAGTGGCTTTGTTGATTTTTGGTTGTTTGTTTGCAGTTTTCTTTTTGTAATAATTGCATCAACTCCTTATAAGTTGGGTGTTTGATTGTTTTCTAGTCTCTACTTGTATTTTGTACTTGTGACAATTGCATTGTAAGATTTGGGCACTGCGATTCATGTTTGGTTTGTTAAGGCATGCGATTTTTATGCCGAAATTTCTTTGGCATTTTGTGGCCTATATTTGGATTAACCCTATATGGTTACTATGCTTCTATATTTGTATTGCCCCTTTGCAGGCATTTGTATTTGACCTTGTGGCGGATGGTCTTTGTGCTTAATATATGAATACAATTATCGCTTTTCTCTATATAAAAAAAAAGTACAAAAATGAAAAGTTGTTAGCATTCATGTGTTGTATTCATTCTTTATTATTTACCTTTTTTCTTCACCATCATCTAATCTTGAATTCTTAACACGAATTAACTTGAATCCTTCACATTTTATCTAACTTAAGAATACGTGTGAGTCGAAAACGAAAAAAATCTAGCTCAAACAATTGGTAACCCTAATGACATGTTTACAAACACGACAACATCAAATTGGTATTATAATTATTATAATTCCTGATTTCTCATATGTTTATTGATATAATACTTGTTTTAAAATTCTCATGCATTAAATGACATATAAGGAATCAAAAAGAGAATTGACTTCCCTTGTATGTAATTGTTTCGAAATGAAATTCATAATTTGAACTAGTTTAGATTGATTGGGGGAAATAATAAATTGAAAGAATTTTTGCTCACCATTTTAACCCAAAGTGTATCATTATTAGTGGCGGATCTAGGATTCTTGGGTCATAGGGTTATAGTGTAAAAGTGTAGAAATTTTTGTAGGCTAAACTATTGAGGCATTTTTTAAGGACAAATTGGTCAATTCCTATCCAATTATTTGTTACAAAATAATAAATTTTTTAAATTATAAATAAATAAATACATAAAACACACACACACACACACACACTAATACTCTAGCATTAACCCCAACCTACCCTAGAAATCCTCTGTCTAACACCCGGAAGAAGAAGGGTTTTTGAAGATCTCAGGTGCAACAATGTCTATTTCAATATATCTCACACACATCTTGCACTAATTTCTCTCTATCCTCTTTAGCAACAATCAATTATTTGACTTTTTAGCGCTCAACTCAAGCGCGAAGTAGGCTGGCATTTCGTCGAGCACCTTGTGTGCATCTTGGGGTCGTCTTGCAGCTAGTCATGGGGTATACTCAGAACTCCACATGCTGTCCACACCCATATTTCTGGCCATTTCATGGGGTCGTGCGACCCCTCTTGTCCCTTAATTTGTTTGCCATTGATCATCACCACACTTCTTAACACTTGACACGTGTCCATGAGTATAACTATGGTTCCATAAATACAAAGTAAAAAGTTAATTATGGTTAGGCCCATAAACACGTGTCAGGTGTTGAGAAGGATAATAAAGGTACACCTTGAGTTAAAGTGAGCAAAAATATTTACTAATCAATTTTCTTACCCCTCCCCAACTTCTAACTTGCCGAATTCATAAGTCTCATATTCCAAATAAGGAAACATTCCATAAAAAAGAACCTTGAATCTTGTGTGTGTATTACTCCATGCCCAACTTTGGACATAGTTAGATGAACAAATGCCTAGAAGGTTAGGTGATCACTTACCAGGATTGCGTGGTTGGAGGAACTTGCCTTTTATTTTATATTTTTAATCAATATTTTATTCTCTCCCCTTTAGGTTTAATTTTCCCAATTTCTTTTAAAAAAATTGTAATTGTAATTTGTATATTTTATACAAGCGATATTAAGGGAGGAGTGTTTTTACAACTACCAAAGTGATATTGCAGGAGGGGGTTTTTTTACAACTACCAAAGTGTCATTGGAATTCGAACATGAGGTTACTGATTTACAAATCAAGGCCCTATTCCGCTAGGTTAGATCTAATGACATAAATTGGCAATCTTTGTCTTTGATTGTGTGGATAATGAGTGAAAATAAAACCACATTTGACCCACAAACAATTTTCCAGTTTTAGGCAAAAGATCAGAATGGATCGTGTTATCTGACTAAGATGGATTTAACAAATACTCTAGTTGGGACCTAACACATTAACGAATTATAGAAAAATAAATAAACAAGTGGGCTTTAACAAATATGCTTCAACAAAATTTGTAACCTTATTTGGACCCAGTCTCTCTTCTCTTTAACATTGACTATTCACAATTCTTCAAGCTGCGGGCCGTCTTCGTTTTGATTCAACGCTTCAAGACACCATGTCGTTTCTACCCGTAAGAGCAAAGTCGTCGATCTACGCTTAAACGACCGTAGGTCTGTAACTTGTTGACCGTTATATCTTACGTTTAGATTATCATTTATGATCAGCGGCTCATAACTGGCCGCGTCAGCCACGCATTTCAAAACAAAATATCTCACTTAGGTAAATGAAATCTAAAAACAAATCGAAAACCGGAGCCGGCGTTAACCACAGGGCCCCTCACGGTCAAATATGGGGCCCACCCCTGCCCGATTCTTCTAAAAAGGCACTGCCTTTCTATTCTCCTCTCTCGTCTATCCTCATTTTCACCCAAAACAAGCAAAGAGAGAGCACTGCACACTCTCTCTGCAGAGTCTCCGAGATTACTCCCTCAAATGGACGGCTTCGATCGACTCCCGGACTCACTGATCCTCCAGATCTTCGACTCGGTCTCCGACGTCAAGACCCTCATCCGCTGCCGCGCCGTGTCGAAGCGGTTCAACTCGCTCGTTCCCCAAACTGACTCGCTCCTCTTAACCGTCGACCGAGTCATCTCCTCCGATTCGGACTCGGACTCGGCGAACGACGACGTTTCGCACCTCCTGGTTACCTTCCTGAAGTCCATCCTGAAATCGATCCACGACCTCGTCTCGCCGAGGCCCGACCCGACCCGGGCCCGCTCCCAGAACTCACCCGCCCAGATCCTCCGGTCCTTCCACAACGTCCGAAACCTCTCGATCGAGCTTCCCTCCGGGGATCTCAGGCTCGAGAAGGGCACGGTGCTGAAATGGCGAGCGGATTTCGGGAAGACCTTGAGAAGCTGTGTGATCCTCGGGTTCCGATCGGTCGTCGCTGGCGGGGAAACGCCGGTGGCCGGAGATGACGCGGACTTCGCCGGAGGGCTGAAGGTGCGGGTGGTGTGGACGATCAGCGCCCTGATCGCGGCATCGGCGAGGCACTACTTGCTGAAGGAGGTGGTGAGGGAGCAGAGAGGGCTGGAAACTCTGGTTCTGAGAGACAGAGAAGGAGAAGGCGTGGTGGTGATGGAGAAGGAAGGGTTGACAGAGTGCGGGGGGGAGGACACGTGTGATGCGGAGGAGGAGGAGGTGGAGGAGGAGGGATGGGATAGGGGAAGGAGCAGGGTGCCTAGCGTGAGGATGCGGATGAGGCACGTGCCGAGAATGGAGCTGAAGGGTGGGGTATGGGTGGAGGGCGCGACACTTGTTGTGGTGAGGCCGAGTTTGAGTGGTGACGTGGAGGATGGTGATTTGGCGATGGGGGCATTTGGCCGGGATGTGCTTTACGGGGAAGTGGTAGAGGCTTTGCTCAAGGCCAAGAGTTATTTACTGGAAATGAACTCATTCTAATTATTCATGGCAAATGTTAAAATGTTTTTTTTTCTGGTTTTGTTTTCGATGCTCTGTACATTCATCCTGATCTTTTGTTTTTTTGGCCCCAAATATTTGTAGAAGTAGTGTACTACTACCAGTTGGTACTTTGGTGCTGCTACTGAGCAATTGTATGAACAATCGAATAAAGCTTCTGTCCGTTGCTAATATTTTGGGGGAACAAAATCATGCCCTCTTTTGAAAAGAAAAATAAGTAAACAAATTCGTACAAGTTTAGAAGGTCACCATGTGGGAGATTTAAGAACTTTTAAGAAGGAATCGAATTCGGGTACAAGCAACGGCAACACCGCCTTGACTAATTGGTCTAATTTACGTCTTCATGCATATTTTGGTGTTAATTTGGTCCCTATTTGTCATCTTAGCAATGTATCAAAATACAATGACCACCTTCACTTGCCTAGACTGAGGTCCAACCAGGAGCCCTTCCAATTCAGGACTTTAGCTACTCAGATTCCTCTCTTTAATTTATTTATTTTTCTTATGTACATATACATACTTTACGAAATTTAATTCATTTATTTCTAATTTATTACAACTTTGAAATTGAGCTCAAAATGGTGAACGCATGTCTGCTCATTTTATTCATGTGGGATGATGTCCCAATTCATTTGGACCTACTCGAGTCAGGGCCAGTCTAATTCTTAAGGCCCAACTCAACGTGGAATGGTTAACTCATGATTATTATATATCTGGTAAGTATGGATTCGAATACATAAGTAACTGCTCTTAATCACTTGAGTTAGAATTTCCTTACCCGATCAATTTTATATAACAATGGATTCACCTGCTTTAGTTAGAAATAGCAAAAGTGACTTCCCATATGTACATTTCGCCCAAAAGAAAAGAAGTGAGTCAGGGCCAGTCTAATTCTTAAGGCCCAACTCAATGTGGAATGGTTAACTCATGATTATTATATATCTGGTAAGTATGGATTCAAATACATAAGGAACTGCTCTTAATCACTTGAGCTAGAATTTCCTTACCCGATCAATTTTATATAACAATGTATTCACCTGCTTTAGTTAGAAATAGCAAAAGTGATTTGCTCATGAGAAACTCAAATGGCGCCTTCCCATATGTTATCCACTATCTACCTGATCCGGACAGATTTTTCATAGATCTTGCCTAATTGTAATCCATTTTGGACGATTTATCCTGTAACGTTTTTGAAAATATTTTCCAGCACCCTAATTTTGACGCTAGTGTATGAATTAATCCAAAGTCTTCACCAAATCATCTTCACTTTCAAAGCGAATTAATTAAAAAAATAAAAACAGCCCCCATTATTCTTCTACACACCTCTAAATTCTGAAGCCTATGAAAGGAAACTCCAATGGCTGAGTGGAAGACAAATCATAGCCAAGAACATTATAAATATACATCTCAGAAGCACAACCGCTACATTGTACATTTCGCCCAAAAGAAAAGAAGATGAGCTCTTGAACTTTTTATGAGAAGTTAGCCTCTCTGGCTTGCCTTATCTTTAATGTTCAGTTGGTTTCAACAACACCATGCTTTGCTAGCTCCACTGAAGCAGAGGCTCTGCTTAAATGGAAAGCCAGCATTCAAAATCAAACACTTGATAATCTGTCCACATGGACTTACTTTGCCAGAAAAAATGCCACAAATTTTCTCCGCAAGCCAAAAGCCAATGCAAGCCCATGCAAGACGTGGACTGGTATTTCATGCAACGCTGCAGGCAGCATCATCAAGATAAACCTTACCACATCCGGTATACAAGGTACGTTGCATGAATTCTCATTCTTGTCCTTCCCGAATCTCGAATATCTCAACCTCAGCATGAATAAACTCTTTGATGTCATCCCACCTCAAATCAGTTACCTCTCTAAACTCGTTTATCTTGATCTAGCTTGTAATGAGTTGTTTGGAAGAATTCCGCCAGAAATCGGTCGCCTAAGGAATCTTACCATCCTCTATCTCTTTAAAAATAAACTTTCTGGCGAAATTCCCAAAGAGATAGGGAACTTAAAATCTCTTGTAGATCTAAAGTTGTCCGTCAATAGTTTAACAGGTTCCATCCCTCCAAGTTTTGGAAGCTTAAAAAAGCTAACAACCTTGTGCTTGTCCAAAAATGAACTTTCTGGTTCTATTCCTCAAGAGATGGGGGACCTGAAATCTCTCGTGGAGCTTTATTTGTATGAGAATCAACTCAATGGTTCGATCCCGACATCACTAGGTAACTTGACAACCCTTACCCATCTATGGCTTTACACAAATAAATTTTCTGGCACTATTCCTGATGATATAGGGAAAATGGAATTTCTTGTGCATCTCTTCTTATCCAACAACAACTTCACTGGTTGTATCCCTAAAAACTTTGGAAACTTAGAAAAGCTACAGACGTTGCACTTGTACAGAAATCAACTCTCCAGTTCAATTCCAGAAGAATTAGGGAATCTGAAATCTCTTGTGGGTTTAGATTTGTCTTACAACAATTTAACAGGTGGCATCTCTCCAAAATTTGGAAACTTAAAAAAGTTACAGTTGTTGTACTTGCATAACAATCAACTCTTTGGTTCAATTCCAAAAGAGATAGGTAACTTAAAATCTATTGTGGATCTAGGGTTGAGCGAGAATCAACTCAATGGTTCAATTCCTGCTTCATTCGGTACCCTGACCAATTTGGAAATCTTACATCTACGGGATAACAAACTTTCCGGCCCTATCCCCAAAGAGATAGAGAATCTTAAGAAGTTGACTAGACTGCACTTGGATACTAACCAATTTTCTGGTCATTTGCCCCAACATATTTGCCAAGGTGGACAACTCACAAACTTTTCAGTACACAACAACAATTTGACTGGTCCAATCCCCAGAAGCTTGAAAACTTGCACGAGCTTATTCAGAGTCCATCTTGAAGGGAACCAATTGACAGGCAATGTATCTGAAGTCTTTGGCGTTTATCCAAATCTTGATTTTATAGATGTAAGCCACAATAACTTGTATGGTGAAATCTCACACAACTGGGGACAATGCCCACAGTTAAAAACCCTACTAATGGCAGGAAACAAGCTTACTGGTAGCATACCACCTGAGATAGGCAATGCAAACAAAATTCATGTGCTCGACCTTTCTTCAAATCATTTAGTTGGGGTGGTTCCGAAGGAATTCGGGAGATTGACTTCTTTGGTGAAGCTGATGTTGAATGGAAATCAACTTTCGGGTCGTATACCTTCCGAATTTGGATCATTGACTGATCTTGAATATCTTGACATGTCAAGAAACAGTTTCAATGAGTCTATTCCGAGCGTTCTAGGTGGTTTGGTTGAATTAAACTACTTGAATTTGAGCAACAACAAGTTCAGTCAAGCTATTCCATTTCAGTTAGGGAAGTTAGTACAACTGTCCCAACTAGATATAAGTCATAACTCTCTTGAAGGACAGATGCCATCAAAAATGAGTAATATGGGGAATTTGGAGACACTTAATCTTTCCCGCAACAATCTTTCTGGTTTCATTCCAACAAGTTTTGAAGGCATGCATGGCTTGTCCTTTGTGGACATCTCCTACAATGACTTAGAAGGCCCCCTTCCCAACAACACCGCATTTCGAGATGCTGCACCGGAAGGAATACAAGGGAACAAAGGATTGTGTGGCAATATTGGAGTTTTGCAGCCCTGCGGTGAACGTAGCTCAAAAAAGGACCAGAAAAGGATATTGGTAATAACATTCTCTCTTCTAGCTGCGCTTTTACTTCTGTCTTCTTTCTTTGCAGTTGTCTTTGTTTTAGATAAAAGAAAGAAGCTTCAGCATTCAGATCCAGAACGAAATAACATGCATGAAGCAATTTCCTTTTCGATATTAAACTTTGACGGAAAAGCGATGTATGAGGAAATCAAAAAGGCAACACAAGATTTCGATTCGATGTATTGCATTGGGAAGGGAGGACATGGAAGCGTCTACAGAGCGAATTTGCCATTTGCCAATGTAGTAGTGGCCGTGAAGAAACTCCATCTGCAGTAGGACGACGAGAAGAATGTTGAGAAGGAATTCTTAAATGAAGTAAGAACACTGACTGAGATACGACACCGAAATATTGTCAAGCTCTACGGTTACTGTGCACATAAACGACATTCGTTGTTGGTGTATGAGTATCTAGAAAGAGGTAGCTTGGCCGCAATGTTGAGCAAAGATGAAGAAGCTAAAGAGTTGGGGTGGAGTAAAAGAGTGAATATTGTTAAAGGTGTATCTCATGCCTTGTCTTACATGCACCACAATTGCTTGCCTCCAATTGTACATGGGGACATATCAAGCAACAATATTTTGCTTGATTCTGAATTTGAGGCCTCTGTTGCAGACTTCGGCGCTGCTAAGTTTTTGAGCACAAACTCAACTAATTGGACTTCCCTTGCAGGCACATATGGATATGTGGCACTAGGTAATATTGATGGTCTCTCTTTTTTCTTTTTCTTTTTTATAAAAAAAATGGTATTAACAAAATATTTATCATTCATTTTTTGTTCTAAAGACAAAATGGTTTGAACACCGCAATTTTTGTGAATTTTTTCTGAGCAGAGCTGGCGTATACAATGGAAGTGAATGAAAAATGTGATGTTTATAGCTTTGGGGTGGTCACATTGGAGATAGTTGTAGGAAGGCATCCAGGAGATCTTTTTTCATCTCTATCTACGGGCTCCTCCTCCTCCTCCTCCTCCTCCTCGTCGTTGTCGTCATCATCATCTGCATTACTAGCCAATCAAATGCTGGTTGTGGATGTTTTGGACCAACGCATTTCGCCGCCGACACATCAAATGGCGGGGGAAGCGGTCGCTCTTGTGAAGATAGCATTTGCATGCTTGAATGCAAGTCCACAATCTCGTCCAACGATGAAGCAAGTTTCTCAACTCCTCTCATCAACTCAGACTCAGAGGCTGCATTTGCCAAAGCCATTACCTATGATTACATGCGGTGAATTGCTTGCTTTCAATCCTTTGACTACCTGATCAGGATGTGGTTAATTCCTACTTCCAGCTTTCTGCTTTGAAACAATAGGTGTCCTAATTGTTGTTTTCTTATTGTTATCTAATTCTATTCACTTTGGTCCTTTGTAGTGCTTTAAGTTTTCAGAACTTGTTTCACATATTATTATATATGTGGTGTTTTGTAATATGCTGCTAAGAGATACTTCTAAAATAGACACGAATTATAGTTTGAACACCAATTGGAGAGAAGTGTTGCCGTCGAGGCTCTAATTAAATTTATGCAAACTAATTCAAATTTCAACGATAACAAATCAACGAGACTATACAACGATAATATTGCACACGAAACTTAATATATTGCTGTTAAATGAACCTCAAAATTAAAATAATAAAGCAAACCATAAGTTAACATTTCGATACAACATGCTTATTGAGAATCAAATCAAAAGGCATATATTGATTAAACGTGAGCATGCTTCTTCAGATATGTGTATTTGGTTGGAAAATTTGTCAATGAATGTTTTACATAGATTGTGATTTATATGGTGTTAAGATCCCTCAAGGATCATCTTTGTAATCTTTGTTAACGTCTGTTTCTTGACTTAAAAAACACAAACCATGCAATCTTCAACTTAATTTTCGAGGGTAAAATGGGGAATATGTACAAATGCTGGGAAGCACCCTTATTTGATAAAATAATTTTTTTTGGTAATAAGACAAAATTTAAAAACAGAGAGAATATCAGAAAAGGAAGAAGAAAAATGCAGCAGGGTTGAAAAACCCTAACGAGCGGGATTTGGGCGTCAAATTTCTTAACTTTGAAACGTTACATCCAAAAGCAAGCAGAGCATAGTGCTTGGCATGGTGCGTAATCTGGAGAATGAGCCTGAGGGCTACAGAGCATAGTGCTTGGCATCACCAGTTCTTTTCCGGAACTTGTTAATTCTGCATTCTGAGCCCCAGAATTCATAATCCCAGGCAAGTTCATATTTCAAAACCAATTTCTCTGTTTTCGATTTTGATGTAGAAATCACTGCTAAAAATTCACCAAAACCCTGAAAAATTTGATAACCCAGATGAACAAAAGGCTAATCTCACTCTCATTCTATCTGAGAAGCTCGGTCCAGCTTCACAGGACTCCTCTCTACCACTCAATCTCTATCTTGTTTTACTCTTCCTCCAAACCCAAAAGGTCAAAGTTTAACTTTGTCTCCAAAGACAGAAGGTCAAAATCAACGCCCAAAGTAGCAGTAGCTGAATATTTAATCAACCAGCACCAGTTTTCCCCAGAAGCTGCTTTGAAAGCCTCATCATCCATCGCTTTTCTTAAAAATACCGCAGAGGCGGATTCGGTGCTTTCATTCCTAAAAGAAAGCGGCTTCTCCAAAACCCAGCTAGAGGAAGTGGTTAAAAGGATCCCGAGGATACTTCGTGCCAATCTTGATACGGCCATCAAACCCAAAATCAAGATTTTCCAAGACTCTGGCTTTTCAGACTCTGACATTGCGGATGTTATATCCTCTGACCCCTGGATTTTACGGCGGAGTGCCGATAATCGGCTTGGTCCTGCTATTTTAGCATTGAAGAACATTCTGGGCTCCAATGCTGGTGTGCTTAAGGTTTTAAAGTTATCTGGTTGGTATCTCAAATATGACTTGGAGAAGACAATGATTCCCAATATTGAGGTTTTGAAGAGTTTGGGTATAAGTTCGTCGCAGATTGTCAAATACATTTGTCATTTTCCCAGATTTTATCTGCATACGCAGGAGAGCATTATGGATTTTGTTAGAAGGGTTGATGAAATGGGTTTCGATAGGAAGTCCAAGATGTTCCTATCAGCAATTCGGACCATTAGTTCGATGAGTTTGGAGACCTGGGAAATGAAGATGAAGCTTTTCCAGAGTTTGGGATTTTCAGAAAAGGGGGTCTTGACGGCGTTTAGCAGGGCTCCCCAGGTGTTTTGTATATCTGAGAAGAAGATTAAGGAGGTAACAGAGATGCTGCTCAGCTCTGGCAAGGCTGATATCGCATTTATAGTTAGTCACCCAGAGTTGCTTATTTGTAGCGTTGAGCACAGGCTGAAACCACGACTACAAGTTATGGAGAACCTAGAAAAGAAAAATCTACTTAGGAAAATACCTAGTTTGAGCACAATCTGCAAGTACACTGATCAGAAGTTTGCTGAAAGATTTGTCATTCCTTATGCAAATGAACTTGAGGTCTAACATGACCAGTGAAGAGCCATGCTAATGCGATTTGAATATTTTTAGCTGGCACTGGCATTTGATGATGCTTGTAACTTGCAGGAAGAGTTTTTTTTTTTTTCCGGAAGAGCATGGAAAAGGAAATAGAAAGGTCATGATTGTTTTTGAGGAATTTTCTTTTGAGCACTCGTGTTTCCTTCTAATAGTCTTTGTAAGAAAGTTGTAACACTCAGATTATTGTTATTGTGGATCTGGTTATACCTTCTCCATTTATTAATTTCTTTAAACTTTGAATGCCTTAAAAAAGAGTGATAGTTAGCTTATTTGCTACTCAAAGTTATACTTTGTAGTCTTTTAGGTTTCAAGTTACCAATATCTTGAGCTAAGGGTATTAGTTTCTGCTGTGTGTTCGACCCTTACAAACATTTGTTCTTACTTTGATTGCTCTTCCTTGGCTTGTATATTAGTAATTGTGGCTTATGTAAATTTGCTTTTCAGAGATGAGATTGAACTTTTTTTATTGCAGTCTGCAAATTTTGTTGTTTTTTTAACGGAGTCTGCAAATTTTGTTAGACATTATGATCTCTAATCAGAAAACATTTAGTTTCATCGAGTTGATCTATCTGAAAGTGAACAGAAAATTTCACTATAGAGTTGCTTTTTACAATACCTGTGATATTGACAGAGCAAATTCTCCCAAATCATATATCATATCTACTAAATGTAAACAGCAGGCTTTGAAAGCCAGGCCTTCATCATACATGTTAATGCATTGGGGATGGGAAGATTGGAGAAGATTTCTCATTCTCAATGAATGGGCAGCTGGGTCTGGCGACAGCGAGGGGAAGGATTAGAGGATTGTGGTTTGGGTAAATAATGCTTGTGTTCGTTTGTTTGTTTGTTTGTTTTCATCTGCTCTACAGCTTATGGTAGTTGATGGAATTATAGAAAACCTATGATTTGGGTTTAACTGTATGTCTTCTATTTAAAACTGTTTTAGGTTTCTATACCTATTGACTAAAAAAGGCCGTTCTTCTGAAAGAGGAGAAAAACTTGCATGTCACAGGGATATCACTGTTTTGCTATCCTCATGGCGAAAAGTGATTGAATGGGATAGCAAAACATTGTTATCCCCGCGAAATGCAAGTTCTTCTCTTGAAAGAGAAGTTTTTCTCTTGTTCCCATTTCCCAAATTGTTAGATCCCAATACAAGCCTTACAAGGGCATGGGAAATTCAACTTTTAGCTAGATTTAGACTAAACACCTACTAGCTCCTACTGGTTTTCTTTTGACCAATTTAGCCCACAGTATCCATCCCTTACTATTTCAAAGTCAATTTCCTCTTTCTAGAGTCATAGACCTCCATAATAATTCAAACTATTCAAATAACTTAAAACAAAAGCAAAAACAAAGTTATTTTAAAACGTTTTGTTGTAAATTAAACTTCACGTGTGGTAGTTATCTAACACATCTTCATTTCTAAACCTCTTGCTCTCCCACCTCAATTATTTTTCTCTTTTGCAGTTCTCTTTGTTTGGATTTGGTTAAACTTTTTACCCATAGGGTTGATGCTACTCATTATAGGAGGAATCTTTGTTTATGTTTATGAGTTTGTGACATCATCCACCTATCACCTCCCACAACTGAAAAACACTTCAATTTGAAACTCAACTTACTCCATCCAAGTTCACTTCACCCTACATGTCTCAATGATGCGTAAGATAAACAACATAGATGTGGTGTGCTTTTTTGCTTTCTCAAATATTTTTCTCCAAACTTTAGACTTGGCTACCTTGCTTGGTCCGCATGCTTTCTCAACTTTTTTATTTTAAGGATCAAATGAACAGAAAATTGCCAATTACTCTTATGCCAAACTTATAAGGTGATTAATTTAAGGCAAATCCATTCCTGGTGCTTCACGCTTGGAGAATTTCGGCTTTAATCTTGTACGGAAGTGGTGTTATATCCTTATTTTAAAGCTTTTCCTAGTACTCCTGCTTTGCTCCTCTGAATATAATACGAACAAGTGATGTGGGATCGGCTGAGCCAAATACTATGTTCAGACTAGAGCATTCAATTCAAGATCAATTACCATTGAACATAGAGGGCCACGATGTTTATATTCTTCAAACGAGCTACCAACGCAAATCACCAATTAGCTCTCTCTCTGAATGTACAAGTATTAGAAGTCTCAAATTTGAATTTCCCTACCTGTGAATTAAAACAAAAAAAGAAAGACTACCAACACAAATAGAGATGATGACCACATTCAAATATGAATCAAAAGGGGGGAAAGAGAGTAGAATATATGAGGTGAGTGTGAGGCTTTTTTTGGGCTAGACATGCATCATGCATGGGATGGAAGGTCCCAAATAAAAGTAAAGTCTAATCCTGTAAGGGAACTAGTAGTGGTTAAAGGGCCATCATCTTTTTCCATGCTCTCAAGTGCATTGCTCCCTTCATCATCACAACCTCACTTTGCTTAATCTCTCTTCCTCTTTTTCTATGATGAATTCTGCGGATCCCATCCTTTCTTTTCAACACTTTCAGTCTGCTTTCCCTACGCCTCCTGGTTTTCTAGTTTAAGAAAATTAGGGTTAGAAAATGTATTGCCAATATTCTTACAGCTCACCAGCCGCCACTACTATATATAATTTTTTGTGTTTGGCTATGGAGAGAGAGAGAGAGAGAGAGAGTTGATAGAAAACAAAGAAAATAAATTGAAGTTTAAGAAGCAAATTATCTAGAGGATTTAATTCCCTTCTTATTTTAGAAGTGGAATTTAATTTGGGTTAATCTTTTCTTTCCCTTTCTATCACCCACCCACCTACTACATTTGTTGGAGTTTCTTTTGCCTCTACCATAATGTGTCAAGTAAACCAGTGATTTGCATATGGTAGACCAATCACTAAGCAATTATTTATGCATCCCATCAAAATGAAAGGGTCGAAAATCACCAAGAATGACTTGAGAAGAAGAGCTCTCAAATTCTTGTGGGTTCCATTGAAGAGAAGTGGTTCGGTAATTGTTCACTTGCTTGTGGGCACTAGCCATAGGGGTCATGAGTCATAACTGTCATGGGCTCACAAGTTGGTGGCATGATTGGATCATGAAACAAGGCTCGTGGGCTTTAACTTTCTCATGCACCTTTTTTCAATTTAAATTTTTTTTAAAAAAGGGAACCATTAGAGAAAAGTAAAGGTTAAGAAAGAAGGCTATCCTGTCCTGTGAGCCTGTGACCCCATTTCAAAGGGTTGCAAAAAGGAGTGTCACAAAAAGGATCAAATTGGGCCAGATTTTATTGTAATTAGGTGTATACTTCTTTTCCCTTATCGTTCGTCTTACGTGACAATGAATGTCAGAAAAATTATCAACTAGGATAAGTTTTTATTTTAACGAGGCATATGCTTTTCTCTCTCTCTCTCTCTTATTACGCGATAAGGAGTATAAGAAAAACAACTACATAGCGCAATAACCTAAATTGAGAGATAAATTACGTAATGGAAGAGACAAACACAAAAGGAAGTATGTCCCGGTTGCATGTAAGATAAACATATGTTAAACAATGTAGAAGGAGAAAAATGAGAGACAGAGAGATGGAAACAGATGTTAAAGGGGAAAAACACATAAGATAAAGGCAAAAGCAAAGGAAAGCTGTCAAGCCCTCCCTCCTTTCTTTTAAAAGCCATCCAAAGCACACCTCAAAAACCAAAAAACCAAACAGTTTCAGCAAGAAAGCAAGCAAGCACAAGATCTAAGAAAAAGAAACACAAAAACAGAGAGACAGAAGGGGAAAACAAAATTGAAGAAGCAACAAACTCTTTCTGCAGAACATGAAGTCAAGGGAAGCCAAAGGAGCTCTTTCTGCAGATCTATTAGTATGTTTTCCTTCAAGAACCAGTCTAAAACTGATGCCCAAGCCAATTTGCAGCCCAGCGAGGCCCGCAGAGCCTAAGCGCCACCAGTACAACCAGAACCACCATCACCAACCTCACCACCACCAGCAGCTCGTCAAAAAATCAAGCATTGGCAAAAGTGGTCTTGGCCAAGCAAGCCCTCTGTTATGGGCCAAGACCAAGCCCATGGGCTCTGAGATCTCCGAGCCCACGTCCCCAAAAGTCACCTGCGCTGGCCAGATCAAAGTCAGGCACAAGTCTGGCTCCTGCAAAAGCTGGCAGTCAGTGATGGAGGAGATTGAGAGAATTCACAACAACAAGAAACAGAGGAAACAAAGACGACCCGGTTGGGCAGAGGCTCTCGGGTTCAAGAAAGAAGTCATGCAATTCTTGACTTGCTTGAGAAACATTCGGTTTGATTTGCGGTGCTTTGGTTCTTTTCCTCAACCGGATATTACTAGCGACGAGGATGAAGAAGAAGAAGAGGAAGAAAACAGGGACTGTCGAGAAAACCATGTGGGTGGTGAGGGAATTAGCGACGGTGGTGATCAGAGTAGCTCGAGGGCTGTGTTTTCAAAATGGTTTATGGTTTTACAGGAAAATCAGAGTAATGAGTTTTGCACAGAAGATAAAAAGGAGAGAAATGATAAGCAGAGTTTGGATGATGAGGTTGGATCAACTTCTGAAGTTCCAGTAGCCTCTGTTCCGCCACCAAATGCTCTGTTGCTAATGAGGTGCAGGTCTGCTCCTGCAAAGACTTGGCTAGAAGAGAAAGAAGAAGAAGAAGAAGAAGAAGATGATGAGGATGAAAAAGAGGAAGAAAAAGAAGCAGAAAACAAAAATGGATTAGAAAAAGAAGAGAAAAAGGCCAAAGTTACTTTGAAGAGCTTAATGGAGGAAGATAAACAGAGAAAGAAGACAGAGAGCTTGGTGGTGATGGCATATGATTCTGATTTCCACAAGATTTCTTCTGATATTGCCAAGGAGACATGGGTTGTTGGTGGAATGAAAGATGCAATTTCCAGAAGTCGAAGTTGGAAGAGATGATGAAGAAGAAGATCTCTTCTTTTTTTTTTGTCAAAAGAAAAATATGGTTTTTTTTTTCTTTATTAATTCTCTGCCTTGATTTGGTTTTGTGAGCTTTTTGTCCACCGAGTTATTCTGTGGGAACTGGTAAATCCAAAGCTCCTTTAGCTTACTTTTGCTTCATTCTTGTTGCTATAGATTTTAGTACTTGTACAGCTTTTCTGTTTCTTTCTCCTGGAAAAAGATTTTGCCAGCATTTACAGTTTTGTGATGTATATGTCCACCATCACCATGCTCGTCTTTTGTTTCTGAAATCAAAATCTTAATTTGTCTGCTGTATGTATATATCATGGTGCTTTTCTGACAGAAGTGTTGATAATTACTAATTAGATTGTTAAGTGGCAGAGATGTATATCTTCTGTGGTGGGTGTTCAAACCAACGAGAATGTTCCAACTAGAAAAAGAACTGAGATTTCGTCAGAATTGTAGGACCTACTACAAGTGTGCGCTATCATATCACATCATCACCAACTCTATGTAAGACTGCTCTAAGCCAGAAAACAATCTCATGTTTTATACACACTTCTCTCTAATTTCTTTCTCACGAAACAATTTACCTCAAAACAAGCTTCTTTCTCGTGAGTACGAATAATCTACCAAAACTACAAAACAGAGTCTAAACACACAACAGAACTGAGTTATCCATATAGAAATGGGTCTACAGTGTAATTAATAAGTTTATCTAAATTGTTACTTTTTTACCACTCTTCTTATGTGCATGTTTCCCATTTGTCCCAAATTTGTCTTTTGGTTGACTGTAACTTTTTTCTAAATTTCAAAAAACCCCTGGACCTCCGCTGATCATAACTTTTTTGTTATGAGTCCTATTTAAGCTCAGTACGTGTCCATGAACTTGTGAGAGTGAGCTCTACGTAACGGTGTGAAGGGAATTCCCAAAATGCTTTCCGAACAAAAATTGACCAACACCCCCCAAATCACAAGAGTAAAATTGTAATTCCATATTAAAATTTTGAAAATTAAAATAAATTTCGGGATGGGACAGGTCATAAGCAAAACTGTAGATCGTATGTTATGTCCAGTTGTCCCATATGTTTGTCTAGATTGTTGGCACTCTTCCTAAAAGTTATGCTTTTGTTCTATCAATAGAAACGGTGTACAATGTAATTGATTACTGTCTAGATTGATTGCCTTGACTCTCGTTCCCTATATAATGTCCTAATTAATAATGCACATAATTCTGTTTGTCGATCATGCAGTTTATTAGTTATTGATAAATTATGCCCTGTAATTGGGGCATCATGTTTGCTCCTTTTAACCGAATTAGCTACAGTCAGAAATATGGTTTTAGCTACAAAATTCAAAGAGTGACAGCATAGCAGGATCAAAGGCCATGCGCATGCCTGCAATTAGGTATTTATTTTCTTTTGAATGGCCTTTAAATGGGCTGAATAGTCAAAGCTGGTTGACTCTCTGCCTTGGAAAAACCCAGCCCTATATTCACGCTTTGGGCTCACTATAGACAAGGGTGATTCTTTGGACGCCCAACCCAAGAGATTTCCTTTTGTTAGAAAATCGTTTGGTGTGCAAAGAGAATTTTAGGTGTCCATGAAAACTTTTCTGATGGGCTTATCCAGAAATTACAGTAAAATTTATATGCAAAGCAATGGTGAGGAATTGGGATCGAAATTTTATGAAAGTGCCCTTGGGGTTTTCAATCCAGGGTTTATTTGGATTTGGGTAATATTATGTTAAG